AGAGGTCTCAGGTTCCCTGGCAACCAAGGCTCTGCCTGCTGTGGAAACCCAGGCCCCAACTTCCTTAGCAACAAAAGACCCGCCCTCCATGGCAACAGAGGCTCCACCTTCTGTAACAACTGAGGTGCCTTCCATTTTGGCAGCCCACAGCCTGCCCTCCTTGGATGAGAAGCCAGTTATCTTCCCGGAATCGACCCATGTTCCTATCCCAAAATCAGCAGACAAAGTGACAGACAAAACAAAAGTGCCCTTCAGGAGCCCAGAGAACTCTCTGGACCCCAAGATGTCCCTGACAGGGGCAAGGGAGCTCCTACCCCATGCCCAGGAGGAGGCTGAGGCTGAGGCTGAGGCTGAGGGAGAGGCTGAGGCTGAGCTGCCTCCTTCCAGTGAGGTCTTGGCCTCAGTTTTTCCAGCCCAGGACAAGCCAGGTGAGCTGCAGGCCACACTGGACCACACGGGGCACACCTCCTCCAAGTCCCTGCCCAATTTCCCCAATACCTCTGCCACCGCTAATGCCACGGGTGGGCGTGCCCTGGCTCTGCAGTCGTCCTTGCCAGGTAAGGCCCGTGGCATCAGTTCCACTCCCCTCCTGGCTCTGGAATGGCAGTGTCCTGCCCCAGCTGTAGGTGGTATGAGCACGGTGGGGCATGCGCCCTGTGAGTAGGAGCTTCCGCCCTGGCTGCTGCCCCACCTCCTTGCATGGTGGGGTGGGTGGGACGGCAGGCACAGCCGTCTCTAGGCTGAGGCAAAGCCTCTTTCTTCCCACAGGTGCAGAGGGCCCTGACAAGCCTAGCGTCGTGTCAGGGCTGAACCCAGGCCCTGGTCATGTGTGGGGCCCTCTCCTGGGACTACTGCTCCTGCTTCCCCTGATGTTGGCTGGAATCTTCTGAAGGGGATACCACTCAAAGGCAAGGCCTGGTGTGGGGGGCCCTGGCCTCATGTCCACCTAGATTGTCTTCCTCCAAGTAAGTGGCCACAGCTTCCTGGGCAGGTCCTGCTCTGTGGCCCAGCAGCCCCCCTTCACCCCAACTTCTGGCCAGATTCCAGGCTAGCACTCTTATCCTCCTGGGAGGCGTCTACAGGGGCAGCCCCTGGCACTGCCCCAGGAGTGCCTTGGATCTGGGTAGGCCCATCCCTCAGCTGGCTGCAGACTGTTCTGAGTGGTATTCACACGTACCCACTCTCAGGTTGTCCTGTGGCTATTAGCTTCTCTCCTAGACAGAGGATCTCAGGCTTCCCAGGAACCCCTGGGCCCCTTCCAGTCCCCTGGCCTCTTCCTTGAGCCATCTGAGTCCAGGACTGTTCCCCAGAAGTGCCTCTTGCCTTCTCAGGGTGAAGAGGTCAGCTGTCCTCCTGTCATCTTCCCCACCCTGTCCCCAGCCCCTAAACAAGATGCTTCTTAGTTAAGGCCCTCTGGAAGGGAAAGGCTACGGGGCATGTGCCTCATCACACCATCCTGGAGGCACAAGGCCTGGCTGACTGCGAGCGCACGGGGCCACCTGAGGACTACACACCGGGCCCACACCTCTCCTGCCCCTCCCTCCTGAGTCCTGGGGGTGGGAGGATTTGAGGGAGCTCACTGCCTACCTGGCCTGGGGCTGTCTTGCCCACACGGTATGAGTGCTCTCCCTGAGTGCCTGTGTAGCTGGGGACGGGGATTGCAAGGGGCAGATGAAGGACAAGCCCCACTGGAGTGGGGTTCTGTGGGTGGGGAGGCAGGGACAAGGGAAGGAAAGCAACTCCTGACTCTCCAATAAAAACCAGTCCAACCTGTGGCAACTGTTCCTTCTCTTTCACATCCCCCTCCTCCAAAACACTCCATTTAGTGTCTCCTCTTTGGGACGCACCCTTCTTTTCCTTCCTATAACTCTCCCCTCCCCCTAATCACAGGCGGCCGCCAGGAAGGGGAAGAGCCAAAGGAAGGCCAAGGGTGCTGGACTGACTCTCCCAGCTTCAGGAGTCACCAGCGGGGCCTAGACGGGTTTGGAGCCCGGGATCAAAGCATGGCATGCGGCCTCTTCACAAGGGTGCTGCTGCCCAGGCCTGTCTGGGACACAAGGTCAGAAATGTACGTCAGGCAAGGCTCTGCCAGCCCCAGGTGCTTGGAAGAGTCCTAAGAAAGGGATCTGGAGTCCCAGACCCTCCCCAGGGGAGCACAGGAGGACCGTCCAGAGGTGCTGAGGATCAGAAAGGCACACATATGTTGGGGTAGCAGTGGTGGGTGACTGAGGGTGGCTTGGATGGTAGGGAGGGGCAGGGCAAGTCTCCAGACCACCAATGGAGGGTGGGCAAACAGGACACCACCCAAGTCAGGGCAGGGCTGGGAACCAACCTGTAACCAAGGAGGACACTTCCCTCTTTTACTTTTTTTTTTTTTTTTTTTGAGATCGAGTTTTGCTCTGTCACCCAGGCTAGGGTGAAGTGGTGCGATCTCGGCTCACTGCAACCGCCGCCCCCCAGGTTCAAGTGATTCTCCTGCCTCAGCCTCCCAAGTAGCTGGGATTATAGGCGCCCGCCAACACACCTGGCTAATTTTTGTATTTTTAGTAGAGACAGAGTTTGGTCAACAGCTGGTCTTGAACTCCTGACCTCAGGTGATCCACCCACCTCAGCTTCCCAAAGTGCTAGGATTACAGGCGTGAGCCACCACACCTAGCCTACTTAGTATGTTTTTTCCAGCTCTATTCAGATATAACTCATAACATAAAATTCACCCATTTAAAGTATGCAACTCAATGGTTTTTACTATATTCACAAGGTTGTGTAACCATCACAATTTTAGAACATTTTCATCACCCCCCCGCAAAAAAACCCATACCCATTAGCAGTCACTCCCTATTTCCCTCCAACCTCCCCAGCCCCCATCAACCACTAATCTATCTACATGGATTTGTCTGTTCTTAACATCCCATATAAATTCTTGACATATCATATATGTTATGGTCTTTTGTAACTGCTTCTTTCACTTACCATATAAATACAAATAATTTGTTTTAGACCAGGTCTTGCTCTGACACCCAGGATTATAGCTCACTGCAGCCTCCAACTCCTGGGCTCAAGTGATTTCTCCCATCTCAGCCTCTTGAGCAGCTGGGACTATAGGTGCATGCCACCATGTCCAGCTAATTTTTAAATTTTTTGTAGAGACAAGTTGTCACTATGTTGCCCAGGCTGGTCTTGAACTCCTGGCTTCAAGCAATCCTCCCAAAGGACTGAGATTATGGTTGTGAGTCGCTGCTCTCAGCCAACATACTTTCAAGGTTCATCCATGTCGTAGCATGAATCGGAACTTCTTGATTTTTATTGCCAAGTCATATTCCATTCTATGGAATATTTGTTACATTCTATAGAACATTTCCATTTTATTTATCTGTCATCGGACACTCAGGCTGTTTCCACTCCTGAGCTACTATGAATAATGCTACTCTAAGCATTCATGTACCAGCTTTTGTGTGAACGTAAGTTTCCAATTATCTTGGGTATATACCTAGGGGTATAGATAAGGAAGTCCCCAAAGGCCTGTCAGAGGCCTTTTAGCTTTGCCCATTGGATGAGATTTCCCAGGAGTGGAGGTGATCAGCTCTCCACAGGACACTCCTCCTCCCGTCACCCCTCCCTTTGCCAGCAGCTGAGCTCTCCTCCTGCCCAATCCCACCCAATCTCCTTTCTCAGATGAGGATCCAGCATCCTAGTTTCTAGGACTAGTCAACAGGAAACATGCCAAGTGCTAGGAAGGCAGATGAACAGGGCCTCAGCCCCCAAACATCAAAGGGTCTAGAAGCATTTCACACACACAAGAATTTGAATGAACTGAAAACTTCCTGTTTTATTAAAAATCTGTACTTTGCTCAACCAGTAACTGGGACACAGTATCAAAAGACATTTTCATGCCATTTCTGGGTGTGGAAGATGGCTTGGGAAATGAAGTTGAAACCCCCAAACTCAGGAAATTACTTGGGAGACAACAGCAGCCCTCCCTGAGGTGACTGGCCAAGGCCATCAAAACCTTGCTCTGTACTCCGGGCAGCCTCTCTGAACTTCTGGGAGGAGCTCTTCAGATCCAGCTTAGCTCAGGCTCCAGAGATACAGGCCCCTCAATCTAGGGGGGGCCTTAGGAATTAATCCATGCAAAAACAGGATCAACAGGAGCAACAGGAAGAAAAGACACCCCAGAACAGTGGTCTGTCTCTGGAAAAGCACACTGGGCTGGAGAAAGGCCACGGGGCAGACTCCCCTCTGAAGGACCTGGGAACCCAAGGTCCTCCTCTACAGGCTTGCCCTGCCCACCCCCACATGTGTTCCTCCCACTACCTTAGCCCTCTGGGGTGTTTCCCTAGAAAAGTTAATATGGGTGACAAAGTTATGAGACCTTGGTGGCCTCAACCAGTGTACATTTACAGAACACCCACACAGGCACACTTCTGTGTTCCTGGGAAACGAGGACATGTGAAGTGAAACTGTCCGTGAGTCCACTGTTAAAAGCTACCAGAACCCAGCTCTCACAAGCCAGGATACCTTGAGCAAGAGCAGAGAAATACCTGGGGGAACCTAGCTGGGCCTCAAAATATGTGTAAGCTTTGTCTGCTTACAGACCCCAGTGCTGGGCAAAAACCATTCGACGGAAGGGAGGTCTGCCCGTTCTGATGTAACCATGGCCACTATACCAAGTGACACTTCGTAAAACCTGAAGATACGTCATCCTTGAACAGTGCTAAGATATGACAGTCAGGGGTGTGGGTGGAACACTTTCTGAAAGGCCTGTCTCCCTGGCAACAGACCTGCACACTGGTTGCTGCTGTGGAAACTGACACCCCAGCCTCATCACCCAGTGTCTCCCCGGAGACTGAGCTACACCAAGCTCTGGTACCTACATCTCCCATCGGGCAGCCCCCTGCCCTGCCTCTTTACAGCCCCTTCTCACACCAACAGGAAGGACTGGGAAAGACAGACTCTATAGATAGATTTTTAAGCTTACAAAAATAAGAGACTCCCCACAAAACTCCAAATCACCAATACATTTATTTGCGGGAGATGGGGTCAAATCTTACCATGAACTTTAAAACTGGGTGGGACTGGAGACACTGATCTGCCCAACCTCTGGGTATTCACAACTGCACAGGGAACCAGATCCTGTATGCGAGGCATCACCATTAAACATGTGAGCATTCGATGAGGAGGACACATTCCGAGTCGTCGCATGATTTCCCATTCAGAGGCAGGTGCTGCCCTCATATCAGAAAAGTAGTGTTGAGAAAAACGCAGGCAGAGCCTGGCATTTGCCTCCTAGCATAGGCCTAGACATGATGGTGGCCATGTGCCAGGGGATCACGCCCTATGTACAAAGCAGGAGAATGATGCTCCCAGCTGAGCTGCAGGATGGGCGCTGGGCTGACTGGAGAGGTAGAGGGGGTGGGGTCTGACCCCATTAGCCTTTCCCCATCCAACCTGGGCCCCCATAAGCCATTCTCTGGCCCTTTGCACAAGACAGACTCAGCAAATCTGGGAGGTATGGGGATTCTCTCAACTCCCCACCTCGCCTCATCTTCCCCAGGTCTGCCAGGTGACCCAATCCACTGGGTGCAGCCCCATCCCCGCCCAACCCCACATCTGGACAGACACATGGCAAATATGGAAACTGAAGCCCGGCTGGGCTGGAGCACATCTGGTTGTTGTTGGTTTGGAGTCGTCTTGCAGGTGTCCCAAGGTGGTCAGGCCTCACCCACGGTGGCCAGGTTGAGACCGTTTTTTAGATGATTCAGGTTACTCCAGGGCAAAGCATGATCCTGATGACACCCGGCGGAAAAGCAGGCTGGAGCCTCGGAAGAGCTGGCCCTGGACCAGAAGGAAAAAGAGGGTGAGTGAAAGGGAGGCCATGCTTCCTTGTCCCTCCGAGAGGAAGGCCAGTGTCAGGCAAAGAAGGGTCCAGGAGCTCAAAGACCTAGCTCCGGGGTGGACAGCCTCGGCCTTCATCCCTGGAGGGCAGAATCTGCCTGTGTTGAAGCAGACGGGAGCGGTTCATGTCCTGCCCAGGGGTGTCTTTGGGGCTACTCTGTAGGAGAGCCCAGAGACGAGGCTCATTGCCCCTCTTGCTTCAGAGCCCAAGTGGTCTGGGACTCTTTCAATGCTCACAGGGAGGACGAGACACACTGACACTGACCAGGGCCACTGGGAAGAACTGTGGCTCTCCTCCCTGCTTCCCTCCCATCTGTCCTCTTCTCAGCCTTGAGGCCAGTCAGCGCTCTGGCTCCCTCCAGGCCACTGCCCCATTTCACTGCGAGGCAAACCAAGGCCAGGAAAAGGCAAGGTTCTGCCCTTGACCAGAGCCTGGACCTGACTGCTGGGCCCAAGATCTCCAGCCAGGGAGAGGTAGCTTCGGCACAGAACATGAGAACCCAAGGCTGGTACTGCTGCCAGGTCCCCACGTGGCCCAGCTCCACCCACAGGCTTTCCTGGGCCCAGGAATGTCCTGCAGGAGGGAGGAGTTGGTCTCCAATGCCAGCTGCCCTAACAACCCAGGAACTCAGCTCAACTGGTTACAGCCCTCGAATTTTCAGCCCATGTTACTTGAAGGAGAAGCAGTTCTTGGGCTTTGCCACCTGCCACCTGGGCCAGAGTTCTCTTATCCTTATCCTAAGAGTCTTTAAGACTCAAAGAAGAAAAGGTCTTGTATGATGTTTAATCTTAAAATAAACCCACACTTAGCCACCTCAAATCCTTTCTGAAATTAGGTAAGATGAAAACTTAAATGCCTTATAGACACCAAGTGTCTCCTCACAATATTAGATTCCATGAAACCACTTATCTTTGCATGCAATGAAGCATCCACAAAATCATTTCAGCTGAAGGATGTGGCAAAGAACAGGAAAGACGTCCTCCGTCCAGTGCTTGCTCACCTGCACACTCAGGTACTTCCAGCAGTGAATCCAGGATTTGAACACCGGGGAGTAAGGGGGAAGCCCAGCCTGCAGCCTGCCCAGGAAGGAGAGTGTAGATGCAGAGAACAGTGGGAGACAGCCAGCCATGGGAAAGCCACTTCAAGAAGGAACGCCTTCGGGCTACCACCCGTCCACACCCTGACACCATAGTTCACCCCAGGGGGTGCTGGGAAATCCCAGCGGAAGCCAGGGTGCCTGGCAGGCTGAGCCTACACACAGAGCAGGTGGGAGGGGGCAGAGTGCTGCAAGGGCTTGCTGGGTCTCCCCCACCCCACAGCCTTGGTAAGTAGAGTGGCAAGTAGAAGGGCGCACACCTACCCGCAGTTGTTCACAGCCATGAGGTCGCCGACTAGCAGGAAGGGGTAGGTCAGCATGCTCACTGCAATCTGAAACCCAGAGAGGCCTGAGTGCCAGTAACCCACCCCAGCCTGGCGAGCAGAGACACACCACGCCAACACCCTGTACCAAGACTTGCCTCCAGCCATTACCAGGGTTGGCCTCCTAGACCCCACTTGGGTCCGCAAGGCAGTGGGAAGGAAGGGCAGCTGGCTTGACTTACCCCCATCACGAACTTGGTATAGCTCCGGATGGCCAGGGCCTGGCTGAACTGAGGAGACAGAAAGGAGGAGCGGTTTGCCACAGGCACCTCAGGACGCAGACTTCAGATCCACATGCCCTCACCCCACCCTCTGTGCTCAGCTCCTCGCAAGCACGCCACACATGTCTTTCCTGTCGGGCCTCACAGTCACTGCCCAGAGAAGGCCTGGGGGCAGAAGCAGGGTAAGTGGACTGAAGGGAGTCCTGAGAAGGACACCCGGTAAGAGGGATCAGCTGCCGCTGCCTGTGCAACCCCACCAGACTGTGAGCCTCAAGGGCTGAACCTGTGTCTGCCTGATCAACATCCAGGGCTTGGCACGCAGTCGGTGCTAAGACACACATGCACCCTGACACCCAAAGGCAAATCCTGGCCTGTGGGGTGAGGTGAGGGCAACTCCAGGCTTACTGCCACCTCCACCTTGGCAAGCTTTTCCCCCTTCAGACCCCAACTCCTCAAATCCTGCTTTGCTGAAGCAAACAGCTCCTAGTGAGGAAAGGTGGCTCCCCCAGCCTCAGCTTCCTGTGGAGCAGCCATCCCACCAGATCAATGCCCTGGGGCCTCGGGCAGAGATTTGCTCAGAGGTCTGCTTGAGTGGCTTTGATAGCCCGGCAGCCTCATCTCAGCCTTTAAGCCACACATAGAAAAGCACTCTAAACACACTTTAAACAAATCTGTTGACTGCTGTTATTGCTGATGTAAGCACAGCAGCCTCTGGTCAGACAGCTGCCCACCTAGATGAGAAACATTGAGCTGTGCACTCCTGGCCACCCTTGCTCTGTATGTGACAGCACAGCTTACCCACCCACAAGGCCCCCAAGAAAGGCAGAACTGCAGGAATGTGCCACTGTGATTGTAGATGGGGTGGGTCTCTATGGAGCCACTTTAATTTGCTTACACTGAAAGGCCAGTTAAGACTCACCTGCCCAGGTCAAGTGGCCAGTCTCCCTGCAAGCAGAGGCTCCCATCTGGCATGGGGCACTCCTCACCACACAGAACAGACAGGTGCCAGACACACACACGTGGAACATGAACCCCTTCCCACCCAGGCGATTCTGGCGGACAGGTCCCCAGGCCCTCCTAGCCTCCTGGGCCTGGCGATCCCCACTGTGAGAATGTCTGGACACTGCGATCCCCAGCCATCGCTGCTCCCCACCTCTTATCTTGGTTCAGGCAGAACCAGTCCACCCCTCAGGTACCTGGACGGCCTTCTTCAACTAGTGCTGTGTAGAAGGACCAGGCCTTCCTATGCCTGACCTGACCTGCTGAAAGGTCTATGTATACTAGGCTGTGTAGACCACAGCTAACAAAATAGGAGGGTGAGCCTGGGCTGTATACTCCCTAGCAGATCTGAAAAAACTCAGAGGAATGTACCCTTAGCCTGGCCAGGGATCTAATTCCAGCCCTGTCAGTTCTAGCTGAGTGACTCTGGAGAGCCCAGAGTTCTCCAGAATTTGTGATCTCTGGGTCTCAATTTCCGTGTTGGTAAACGGAACATTATACCTGCCCTGTTCCCTTCACAACTAGGATGCCGTCAGATCAAAGGCCACAATGTTCACAAAAGGGTTTTGAAAAGCAAAAGACGTGATGCAATGGTCAAAGGGTGCTCACTATTAGCTGGTCTATCTTCTGACTTCCTGAGCCCTAGCTGGGTCACTGCCTCGGAGCAGCCTTAGATAAGCTGGGGTTGGTTTCTAAGGCTGCCCAGGGACAAGCATTCCATTAATTCCTCCCAGGTCTGGGTACTAATCTGGAATCTCGCCTTTCATGGCCATACTCCCCTTAGACAAAGATGACCCCAGGGACAATGAGAGGTCCTCTCTCACCCTCCGGGCCTGATGCTTAGAATCCCAGAATCCTCGACTTTGTCCCAGACCCTGGGCATCAGCAGTACACGGAAAGAAGGACAAGTCCTTGTTCCAACCAACCTGGGAACCTGGATTCTGGTCGTTTCCCAGCCCCCCTGGGGTGTCACTCACGCTGTCATCCACCAGGTAGGCATTGATGAAGTGGGCCAGCAGGTTACAGCCCCACAAGAAAACCACATCGCCCAGGAGGTGAGGGATTAATCCACTAAAAAACAAGGTAAGCAGAGATGAGCAGGAGAGGGAGAGGAGCAGTCCCTGGGGGTCCACATCCAGGAAGCAGGCAGGGATGTTCCAAGTTCAAAATCTTAGCATATCCAATGGCACAGCCTTAGAAAGGAAGCCTGCAGGGGCCAGCAGCTACGCACACTGGGAAGGCAGTGCTCCTTTCCCATGGGGAGGTGTTCTATGGCACTTTGGATGCCACAGATTAGTTAACAGTCTCAAGCAGTTTTCAAACCACAGAAGCCAGGGATCAAGATGTGAATACTGCCAAATTTGCAATTTCCAAATGCAGATAACAGTGTCGACGTGTTGGTAATTTTTTCCTGGCCTCTTTACCTAACCAACTCCCAGAAGACACATTGCTCAATGCATCTGTTCTCTTCGCCCCTGAAAATATTCTATCAAAAAGATTCTATGCAAGCATTTACAAGGAGGGCTAACTTTTTAAGTGATGGCCTTTAAACTGCTAAGGAAGGTTCCCCAAGATGCAGTGCTGAGGGTAAAAGGCCAGTTTGAGGTCAGTGGGTCCCACGTGCCTCTTGTGTGTTTTTCAGCGTATTTGCTTGTTTAGGTACGGAGTGCCCTGGGAGGCTCTCCAGGAGAAGGATGGCTGTCTCCTGGGAGGAAAAGCAGAATTATTATTTTTGAATTAAAAAAAAAAATCTTATAAAATATTTGAAAAACTCAAAAGAATATATGTAATACATCCATAAGGAGTATTAATAAAATGAACCTCTGTGAATGCAATTTCTAATCTTGTCGTTCCTGCTTGTGCTCAGATTGACTACGTGCTATATACCCTTTGGTGCTTTCTATGCACTGTAACATGTATGCATATCACCTGTTCCAAAATCACATGGCGAAAAAGAACCCAAAGAGTAGGCATCTGTTGTGTGGGAATCCTATTCACACACCAGAAGAGAACTACGCAGTGTGAAAAATGCCAGAGGTGGTCATGTGCAGTGTTTCAAGATGGGTGGCTGTTTCTGTAGAGCAGCCATTGGCCGGGGCCCAGGGGCTACCCCTTTGGCAGGGCACATGGTCTCTGAGGGCCACAGACGCCCTGCACTTCGTCACCTCACATCCAACTTACTTCACCTCTAAAGAAAGCGCATACTGAAAAGACTATGTTCAGAAAGAATAAAGCACAGACAGAACCCAGAAGCCAGGCTTGGTGAGTCGTTTTTTGATTTGCCGTTTTAAGGTCTAGGTAGTGACATACATGCTGATAGGCATGTCACGAATGTTGGTTTGTTACCCGGTACATGCGCAAATATATATATGTATAAATATTTATACATACATATATGTGTGTATGAATATAAATCAGAGTTTCTCAACCTTGGCACTATTGACATTTTGGGCTGAATAATTTTTTTTTCTCCCCAAGAGACAGGGTCTCACTCTGTCACCCAGGCTGGAGTGCAGTGGTGCAATCATAGCTCACTGCAGTCTCCAACTCCGGGGCTCAAGCCATCCTCCCATCTCAGCCTCCCAGGTAGCTAGGACTACAGGTGAGTGCTTCCACGCCCAGCTAACTTTTAAAAACATTTTTATAGAGACAGAAGTCTTGCTATGTTGCTCAGGCTGGTCTTGAACTTCTGGCCTCAAGTAATCCTCCTGCCTTGGCCTCCGGACAGCTGCAGAAACCACTGAGACTAATCCTGAGTAACTGGGATCACAGATGCAAGCAACCACACCAGGCTGAATCAGTCTTTGTTGCGGGGTCGTCCTGTGTACTGTAGGATGTTTAGCAGCGTCTCTGGCCTCTACCCACTAGATGCCAGTTGTGACAACTACAAGATGTCTCCAGACACTGCCAGTGTTCCCTGGGGAGCAAAATCATCTCCTGCTGAGAACTGTATATATATTTCTGTATTATATACACATACATGCACATGCACCTACAAGTAGTCATTTCTTGGTTAAACAAGGGGCCATAAATAAAAAACATCTGACAAACTGGAAAACCATGATATAAAGACTTCTTATGAATAATATGGAGCCCTGTGTCTAGTACAGCGCACACTGCTGTATACCATGTGTCTACCACATTTGTGACGTACCTGTCAGCATATACGTCACTGCCTAGACCTTAGAACAGCAAATCAAAAAACAGCCATCAAGCCTGGCTTCTGGGTTCTGTCTGTGCTTTATTCTTTCTGAACATAATCTTTTCAGTATGCGCTTTATTTAGAGGTGAAATAAACTGGATGTGAGGTGACGAAGTGCAGGGTGTCTGTGGCCCTTGGAGACCATGTGCCCTGCCAAAGGACCAGGTCCTGGGTCCTGGCCATTGGCTGCTCTACAGAAAGAACTACCCAGCAGGACAAGATTTTCTGACTTTTCAAAGAGATGCTAGAAATGTGGAATTTTGTGCAACATACCTTAAATGTCAACGTCAACAACTAATTTATCAGAAAAGCAATGTCAAACAGAATCCACTGGCTGTGGTCAGCCTGTGAGCTTCCAGAGCTCCACCCTCAGTCCAAGTCAGATATTCAGTCATGTTTTAGCAGTGAGGCCAAGGACTATGCAGTGACTTAGCTCACGAAGACCAGCCCCACACCCACCGCAGCTGGATGAGGCCCAGTGGGGCTGATCAGTTCATCTCCCCCATGTACTAGACACACAGTTCCACTTTTACATGAGCCATGGCCTGAAAAGGGCTAAGCAGTCTGGACATGCCATGGAGCTCTAGAGAGCTGGCCACAGCACTTGGGCTAGGGCAGGGCCATGTGGTTAGTCCCAGGCCAGCAGCTGTGGTCTGAGAGGTTGAGGACACATGTGTTAACAGAGCCAGACCCGTAGCCAGTTATGGGGTATATAGACTCACGTACACAAAGAATCCCAGCAGCCCTTCCTCTTTGAAAATTTTCCCAATGGAGCTCAGCACACCACTGTGAAGAAGACAAGACAGAGATACAGGGTCATGCAGTCACCTACCGGAAGCCCACCCCTTGGTGTGGGGCTGAGCCCCCGAGCTCTGCTCAAATCCAGCCAGTCCTGGTGGGGTGGGGAGGATTATTACCAGGAAGAACCAAGTAGAAAGGCACAGAGAGCGCTTGGTCGGGGTGAGGAGGAGTTTACACAGTTCACGGAGACTGGGGAAGCCCAACCACCCACGAGAGCAGCCCACTAGCAGTCCTATACTGGCGTTTTCTGTGAGATCGGAGTTTAGGAATGCATCTCCCGACTTCGGCCACTGCTGCAGAGATGGCAGGCCCTTCTCTTACCTGGCCCTCACACTTATCTCTGGTTAAACAACACTCCACCAGAGGAGCCCACAGCCCTGTCCAAGAGAGTAAGAGTAGAAGGCGGTAGTGAGCCGAGAGAATTACTTTCCCAGAGGGCAGAGAAAGAATACAGGGCCCTGCAGGAGGAGGCACTGGAACCAGCCTAGGAGAAGACATCTGGCACTCCTGAGCAGGGAGCCGGGGATTCATGCCCTGGCCATTGCACCCTGTTAGAGATGAGAGGACAGGCTGCGGGTTCTTAGGCGTGAAATGCCAAGGAAGCTCAATAACAACTTTTGTGACCTATGGCTGGAAATGACAATTGGCTTGTCCTGAATGGAGGCTGCACAAAGCCCAGGTGGAAGGGGCAACCTAACAGAGGAAGACAGTGGAAGGCAAAGCCCTGGGTAGCCCTGGACCCAGATCATCCCAGCCCTGTCAGGCCCGGCCCCACCTCTCAAAACAGTGGTTGCCAGATTATACCCGCCTGGTCCCAACTACTGACCTCATACTTCAGTCTAGGGGAATGGGCCAATTTCCCATTAATGACCCTAAAATGAGGCACCATGGCAGCTGAGCTTCCTGGGGTGGTGGCCCCAAAGGACGGCTGCAAAAAACGCTGACCCCAGGAAATGAGAATCTTAAGCGGGGAAGGGCAACCCAGGTGTGTCCTTCTGCCACATGCCTCCAGGACCCACCTCTGTCAACACATATGCCCCTGGCACCTGCCCAGGGCTGCACACAGCAGATCTAGGTGAAGGTCTGGTACACAGTTGAAGGAATGAGCCCCAAGCCCACGGGGTGGATGGCTTCTTCACAGGGGATAAAAAGAGCTATCAGCCTATGACGGCCGGAAAAATCATGACAGCATTACCTTGGGAGTCCAAGAGGAGACCCCAGCTCAGTCCTAAGTGGCAGAATCAGCTCTGGTGCCAGAAATCCTAATCCAAGCTGACTACAATCCCACTCACCCCTCTGCAAAGGCATCTAGGCTCATCCAGGGCTGCCCTTGATAAGAGATGGAGAAGAGCAAATGCCCCTGGACAGACTATGGAAGCCACTGCAACATTCCTCAGAAGCCAGGCAGCAGGCTGAACTCACACAGGACTAGAGCAGACAAGGTGCAGCAACCAACCCCAGCACAGCCTGCCCTGGCAGACTCTGAAAAGGTAACAGGGCCACTCTGCCTGTCCCAAGAGTTACCCACCTGTACTTGGCCTCCCGTCCCACAAACTGGACCATGCAGCGCATTGAGATGACTGAGGAAAAACAAAACACACACAGGTGATGTGGTGGGCCAACCCTCATGATGCCCCAGCCGCCGCGTGCCGGGTGCAGAGTGGCCACTGAACAACATGGCCTGTTCAGACAGCAGGAGAGGAAGAGGGACTTTGGGGTTCCCTGTCACATCCCATGACCACAGCGCCCCATTTCTTCTACCTGGGAAGAGCCCCACCTCCCTTTGGAAAGAATTCCAATCTCTCCTCAGTGGGGTGGGTTCCAGTAGAATACCTCCCACCCCACTACCACTTCCCAACCGGTCTAAGACTGTCTATCTACAGTCCACGAGGGGGCGCCCCCACCCCACGTCCCCACCCCGGCTTAGAGAGTCTCGGGGAAGGGGGGGCTTACCGTGCAGGGGGTGGGCCAACATGCGGGACACACACTGCATCATCATCTCGTAGGAGGTCTGGAAGAGAGCATGGGGTGGGGACTCGCCACCCGCGGCCTGTCTCTGGAACTGGCCCTCGAGGGGAGCTACAAGTGCTTGGGAGGGAGAAACCCGTCCCAGGGACTGCACGTGGGGTCGGTCTGCCAAAGATGGCTCCACCTGTTGCCCCACTCCCCAGTCCCCCACCCAGGAGTGCTGCCGGGTCCCAGGCTAGGCCCAAAAATGGCTGAGAAGGCTCTCTGGGGTTCCCTGCGCACCCAGGCCAGGGCTCCTTCCCTTACCATCCCACCCATGCATGCACGAGGACCCAACTCTTCCACTTGTCAATGACCTGCCCAACTTGGGGGTGAGAAATCATTAGGCTCCCCGCCACACGCCTCTCCCTCTCCAACTCTCAACACCCACCTCCTTCACAACTTTCTTCAGGGAAGTCTTCATATCATCCTTGTTGGAAACCTGCTCAATCTCATCTGGAGGGAAAACCTGAAACAGGGAAGGGAAAGAACCAAGTTCAGCTACGCCTCTTCCATGGAACTCTTCGGGGACTCGGGCGGCAGGAACCAGCTCCAAATATTTCCTCTGCAGTGTCTATTGGCTGGGCCCACCTCAGGTGACCTCCAGGTCAGGTCTGGAGCGTGGGGGAAAAAGAAAGCCACCATCTGGTGTCACAGCTGTGGGAAAGCAGACCTGTGGGGTGGGAGCTCTCCCATGGGGCTTCCAACGGTCTGGGAAGAAGGAGGCAGGACCAGGGTAACTGGCTGCTGCAGGAGTGGTTGGGAGTATGAGGAAACCTCGGGCCACTGTTCCTGGTTTTGTGTGGGCTCACCTTCTTCATGCTACCCCGAGTCACAGTGGAAAGGGCGTTGGACATCAGCCGGGGACTCAGGCCTCGGAACAGCCCTATCTTACCATCCACTTGCACAATGTACTTGGCTGTAAGAAAACAGAGGTGGTAGAGGAGTTACACCCAGTTCAGGGGCACCCACTCCTGGGTCACACACACCCAGACCAGGCTCGGCTTGTCCCTCAGGTAACTGCTGACTACAGGCACAGAAGGGAGCATCTGTCCAGGACCTGGAAGCGGTCAGGCCCTAACCCCCAAATGTCTTCTAGCCCATTTCTTTTAGTAAAAGCCTCAAAATCTATTTCTAACAAACAAGTTCATACATTTTCCTTCCTTCCCTTCTCTTTCCCTTCCCTTTCTTTTCCCTTTCCTTTCCTTCCTTCCATTTTCTCTCCCTCCCCCTTCCTCTCTCTCTCTCTCTCTTTCTTTTCTTTCTCTTTTTGCTTTAAAAACACTACTTGGCAAACTCAGTCGTGATTTCTCAACTCAGCAACTTAAATGCTGCAACACAGAAAACAATTCTGTTGCTTAAAAGTTATGTTTTTCTTGACGAAAAGAAAATAGGAAACACAGAGAAACTGCCCACAGGGAATGATGAAGTCTGCAACCTAAAGGAGGGAAAAAGGAAAAGGAAGGGCTCCCAGAGGGCAGGCTCAAGAACACCCCTGCACACGCGACGGCGGGTAGTCTCCACCCTGCTACTGTGCTACACCCAGGACACCACCTGGCACCTGCTGGCATTTATTAGTCAAGGGAAAAACAAGTCTATGGAGAAGTAACTAAAACAGAAGTACCAATGAACAATTCCACAGAATAAACTTAAATGTTATGGAAGCTAGACCCTACCTGTGTGAGTTAGTGTTTCTTTCACTAGGGTCTCTCTTTCTAAGGATACGATTCATTGTTTTCTATCAACACTTTAAACATGTTTTAAATGGCAGGGTGGTATTTTTATAAACCTGTGCATCTGGAAGCTAGCAGAACATTCTCTCAGACAGCATGCTCCCTCTTTTAGACCATGACTTTAGCTCTCTGGCACCGCGCAGAGGCAGGAAGAAGCAAATATGCCTTTTGCTCCTCCCAGATGTCTGCCAGCCCAGCAATTCAATGTCACAGCTAGCATGGGTTTTTCACGAGGCTGAGAACACCTGTTACCTGTATATGTGATTTCCTGAGATGGGGCTGGGCTGGAAAGAGAGGAGGAGGAAGGGAGGGGATGCTGGGTGACTTGGCAAGGTGCCCTACTTCACAGACTGAACAGACAGAGGAAAATTTGCTTTGGGGGAGGGTGGATCCTAGAGAGGAGAGGGAGCCTCAGGACCTCTGTGTGTGATCCTGAGCAAAACATCTACCCTCTTCCATCTGCCCACCTGTAAAAAAACAGAATAAGGACCTTCATTTCTCTCCATTTCCGAGGGGCCTGGGGAACAAGTGAGAGCGGAGAGAGGCGTGCTGAAATGCCTGCAGGGGCCTCTGTGGGTCCTAAGGCCTCAGGCTGGCCAGGGCCCCCCTCATTCTGGGTCTTTCTGCAGTGCCTGGAAACCCTCTGGGAAGTTCTTTCTTCTACACCAGAGAATGTCACGACAGCTGCAGTACTTTCAGCCATGACAAGTAGAGGAGCAGACACTGTCCACACTGTACCAGAGAGCCAAATGGCGGGTCCCCTCCCTGACTCCAAAGTAGGCCTAGTGTCCGGAGATCCCCAACGGACATCTGCTCACCCCTAGATTAAAGCTACATTTATATAAACAAGGCTGGGGGCACACCTCAGAACTCTGTTCATCCTCACAAGAGGCAGTAAGATGAGGGTCAAGTTCCCTCTGCTCTGTGTCCTTTTGGGAATGGCTGTGTCACATGAATAGAGATGATCTGGGCTCTAATCTCACCTCTCAGAACATAGCACGTGCAACCAGATCCAGAGAAGGCCCCGTGCAGGGCCGCAGCCCTCCACCTGGGCTGCCTTACCTCTCTGTATACTGCCTCACTACGCAATGGTGGGGTGCCTTCCTACTTCTGTCATTCCCCACTCCACTACGCTGACAAGTTTTAAGTAAAAAACAACACAAACACATTTCCTCACAAGATGACACATTCCACCTGGCCCTAGACTCTGCACTCAACAACACAGGGACAAAACTGGAAGAGAAATATGACACCCAATTCTGCCAACAGCATGTGAAGTGGAAAAGGTAACACAGAGGCCAAGCCCCAAGTTACTCAACAGAAAGATAGAGTCTGGAGAACATTCTCAGGTAAGAGCAGAGGTGCAGGAAACTTGAGGGGACTCGCCTGGAATGGAACTCCAGCTGTGAACATGGAGAGAAAGGGCACATTTAAAGAAGGCCCTCATCATGGTCATCTGGTGAGGGTGGGGACCGGGAGAGGAACATGACAAGGCCCTGGCCAGCCGGCACCTGTGGGCCAGGGGATGGGCAGCAGAGGCAGCAAGGTGGGCTTCTTGATGACAGATGGGGAGCCTGCAGGAAGGCCTGGGCAGGAGAAGCTGACCTTACTTTGCAGACAAGGGGTGCAGCCGGGCCACAGCAGGTAAGTGGCCCGCCCAAGCTCACGCAGCATACAGAAGTGAAGCTGCAATTCACTGCACACCATTCTGTAACCAACAGATGGAGACACCAGAGTGAGTGAGCACCACTCACTGCCTGAGGAATGCAGGGGAAACAAGACACCCAGGTGGGATGAAAGAAAAGAACGCAGGAGGAGCCCCACAGGCCTTCTACTGGAGTAGCAGGGCCAGGCTGCTCACAGGGCAAAAGGAAATCACCCCCACGCCTGTTCCAGGCACAACCCGGGGCAACAGAAATAACAGGGACCAGTGTCCTCTCTCAGGCACCTGTGTCTGTCCCCTCCTACTGTCTGGGCTGGCAGCTGGCAGTACAGGCAGAGGAGCTGGACGAAAGCTGTATGGTTCACCTGCTCCCACCCCGAAACCATGCCCTCTCTGGGCATGCTTAGATCCCCTCCTCTGTGCCAGCTCGACTCTGCATGCCGTGCTGCGCGGTGGGTTCCCCAGGGCCAGCTGGTCCTGCTCCCCACTTGAGGCCTCTTTTCTGTTGGCGTGGGCTTTCCTGCTCGGGAGGCACACTCACCATAGGTGAAGAAGCTCGGCAGATAGAGGACCTTCCTCCCCAGCACATTGGTCCCAAGGGTGGGGGGCATCGGCTCATGACCCACCTTCAGAATGAACAAAGACAAAGGGACATTCAGCCTCACCACCTCTCCTCACACCTCCTGTCCCCTTTGCCTTACTCTTCTCCCACAAATTCTAATGTGGCTCTTGTTTGTGTTTTCCCCATCAAAACACCAGAAAGCTCGTCAGTGTCTCTAACCATAGGCAGCATGTAATCTCCCCATGAACAGAAATGCCTGGTCCCAGACACTGCCCAACCACAGTCCAAGTCACACCCATACCCCAACATTCTTACATTCAAATCCCAGATATTCCCAGTAGAAACCTCTGTATGTACTTCAAACGCTACTCCCCTCTCAGAACAAATCTCAGTTATTCTCATCTCCCAAAGAAAAACTTCACCCCAACCTCAATTCCAAATGTGGCAATAAGACAACACATCATACCCAAACCTCAGACAGGTCAGCCATTAAGTCATCCATTCCAAAGTGCACCCCAAACTCAAATTTCTTACCAAATCTACTGCAGACACCTCCACGTCTATTCCTCCCATTCCCAGGCTTAGCAAACTATTACCTCAAATTCCAGGTGCTCCTCAAACACATCCTCAGCTGCGTTCTCTCCTCAATCACCCTACATCCCTGTGAAAAAATGACCCCCTCATTTCTGAAGGGCTATGACAGTTCTTGCTGTACAGACGTTTCTTATATCTGAAATGTTTATTTATGTATTTGTTTATTTATTTTTGAGACAGAGTTTAGCTCTTGTTGCCTAGGCTGGAGTGCAATGGCATGCTCTCGCCTCACCACAACCTCCGCCTCCCGGGTTCAAATGATTCTCCTACCTCAGCCTCCCGAGTAGCTGGGATTACAGGCACCCGCCACCATATCTGGCTAATTTTTTATATTTTTAGTACAGACGGGGTTTCTCCATGTTGGTCAGGCTGGTCTCGAACTCCTGACCTCAGGTGATCCACTTGCCTTGGCCTCTCTAAGTGCTGGGATTACAGGCGTGAGCCACTGTGCCTGGCCTGAAATATTTATTAAACCCATGGGTGGGTGAAGGACCATCCATATCCATGTGAGGAGGAGGAAGTCCCTGTCGAGGGGTGAGAGCCCCTGATGCCAGGGAGGAGGCAAGGTGCCAAGGAGACCAGCCCCTAGGTGGGGAGTGAGAAGGCCTCTTCCTCCCTTGGCAAGGGGCCAGGATACCAGCCCTGTGCCATCTAAGCAGGCCATCTGGGCCCATGGACCAGAGTGATTCCTCTGAGATGTAGGAGGGGATTTGGCCTGCAGCTGTGGGAGGCAGTAGAAGTGGCAGGTTTGAAAGTGCTACCTTGTAAACTGGATTAGGTATGCTTCCAATGCTTTCTGAGATCACCCCTGTCCCCTTTTGCCTTTATCAAGCAAGTGCTTTTGAAAGTTCAGGCTATCTCCTATGGATGTGATTCTGAGATGCCTAACAGATCAATGATTGTAAATTTAAAAACTCCTCTATGATGGGGACTGTCTTTAAAAGAAAAAAATTTTGACCCAGTGGAGCTAAAGGAGGAAAGGGGTGAGTCAGCTGACCCAGGCAGTGAGTACTTCCCTTCTAGACCTTTTCCCTTCTGGGTTAAAAGCTCCACGGTTGTTCTGAGTTAAGTTCTGTCTTGATCTGTGTTCTCTTAAATACAGATGGTACGCCTTCACGTATCACTGAAGTGATCCAAATCGCCATCACTGCTCTTTTGCCGTCCTTACCCAGTTTAGTCAACACTATTTGGGACTCCCACTGACCCCAATTTCATCCTTAAATCTGTAACATTATCCCATATCCCCATGGCTCCCAAATCTGTTGAATCTACTTTCTTCACTTCTACTGGGTTATCATAGGCACGCTGGCTGTATCTCATCTGCATTCCTCTCGCCTTCAAGTTTTAATTATTTGTTCCCAAGTCATTAAACCCAATTCCATCCTCAAATCTGTTAACCCAGTCCTAACTATGGCAAATGCTGTGGCCCTGTATCAGATACCAGCAGGGACAGTCTGTCATCTTAAAATCTCCAGCTCCCAACTGACAGCCACATGCCCTGATGTAAGGCACTGCATTCTTATGTACCTAATCCCCAATCTGTCACTCCACTCCTGACACCTCCACTCCCAGTAATTTGCCTTTCTGCAAGATATTACTCTGATTCCCAAGCTATACCCATTGAAGATCTTACCTTAATATATGTTACACTCAACACCAACGGGGTCCAAATCAGACAGGCACCTCTCTGGTCCTTCAACGGGGCTCATCCATCCTTACCTGCCCACCATCTAGTTCTTCTCATGCTTTAGAGTCCTTCATTACCCCATTCCCTTCCCAAACCACCCTTATTTCAATGTTCCCTCAAACCAGATCCGCCGTTGTCCAAATGATGAAGACACTTCTTCATTTCCCTCACATTGAGCCCTTGTGCTCTAGCATCCTTCACTCCACAGACTCTCCCACCTGTACCCTAAACTCCTAGCCCTCAGTCTCATTCCATCAGTTTCCAGAACCCTCACTTCTCAGGTCCCACCAGTTCCAAAGCACCAATTTATCTCCCAAACTTCGAGTTCAACTGCTGTAAATACAATCTTACCCCTGTAAGACAGCCCTCATTTCCAAATCACAACCAAATGCCAGTCTTGGTCTACACCTTCCGCCATCAACAGTTTTCAAATCTGTCACAATTAGGGTCTAGTCAGGCACCTTGATGCCCCTGACTGAATCTCCTCATTCCTTGTCATATTCCTGGTCACGCCCACAAATCTATTACCATTCCTCAGATCCCAGATTTCAACTACTCTCATTCTCAAGGCCTTCTCATTCCAGTTGTATTTTGCATTCTCTCAGTTCAATTATAGAGACGGTAAAATCTGACACCCACCTGCCTCAACTGAAATCTTGGATGGGTCTCCACTTCAATTTTTAACCTTCCTCCTCCCACTCTTCTTAACTGGAACATTCTGGCCTAATGACCCCCATCAAAACTGTACCCATCCCAGCCACACCCACCTAATTCTCACACCTCCACACGCCCTTCATTCCAGCTCACTCCTCTCAAGCAGCACACTTCATCTGTTCCGCATTGCCGGCCACCACCAAATCTGCCAAGTGCCCATGCATCCCTCCGTTCTAGAGACATCCCTACCTCGGTCTCAATTTCTGGTAATCCCTACCTATCCTGCCACCTATGTCTCCACTGTCCCTTCTGCCCAATTTCAATACTCCCATCCTCCTTCTCCTCATCTGCCCAGATACAAGCACTGTGATTCCTCTCTGACCCCAACTATTGACTTCCATTTCCTCCTCCAAATGCGTCATCACCTTCCTCGCTTAAAGCCTGCTCCTAGCTTCCCTCTCTAGACAAATCGCTGCCACGCCCCTCCCCCAATGCTGGCCCTATGTGTTCCCCTCCCCCCATACGCGTCACCCTGTCCCCTCCTCCTACCAAATCTGTCGTCGCCATCAAATCCAGAGCCCCCATCTCCGGTAAACCGATAGCATTCCCCTGCAAAATTCTTTGCCTTCGCACTCTCCCACCAAATTAAATCACAATGAAACCCAAGACCTGTCTTCTCTGTCCACCCCCAGTCTGGTGTCCTTCTTTCCCTCCTAAATTTCTGGCCCTGGTGCCGACTTTGTCCCCACCCCACGACGTTTTACATCCATCTCTACCAAATCCAGAACCCCCGTTCCCCTCTACCCCAAATATGTGCTCCTCAGCCTCTAAACACTTCGCCCGGGCCCCCAACCTTCCTCCCCATCTCTTCACCCAAACTTCTCGCCCCTCCCCCAATTACGTTGCTTCTTCCCTCATCCCAAATTTGTTCCCTTCCCTATCCCAAATCCATCGTCCCCACTCCTTTATTTCCCAAATATGTTTTTCCAGACCATCGCCCCCTCCTTGGCACCCCCCAAATCGCTTGTTCCTTCCACCCTCTCCCAAATCCGCTATTACTCTAACCCTTTCTGCATTCTAAAACCCGTGACCTCTGCGTTCCCACACGGCTTCCCTCCCCTCCCACCCACTTCGGCCCCCCAAACCCGCCGTCCCCACCCCTCTCCCCAAATCCGTCGCCATTGACTCCCCACCCCAATCCTCCAAATCCTGGCCTGTCACCTTCACATCAGTCTCTCATCTCCCTACGGCGCCTCTGGTCCCCCACCTGGATGAGCAGCTTCACGTAGAGCAGGGGATGACTGAGCGCCGTCACGCCCGCGCCCAGCGCCACGAAAAGAGCCTCAGTGGTCGGGGCGTTGTCCCCAGACCCCAGGCCCCCTGACCCGCCGTCCATCCTGCGGGCCGAGGGCTGAGCCGCAGGCCGAGGGTGGCGAGGATGTGCGCGGTGCGCGGGCGGTGGATCGCGAGCTCGGGCCTCGACCCCCGCCGCCGCTCCGCCGCGAGCTCCGGCTCCAGCTCCGGCTCCCGCCATCCCCGCGGCACCGCCGCGAGCCCAGGGCGCCACTTCCGGGTCCAAAGCTCCCATGGCACCCGGCGGCGAGGTCACTCCCTGTCACGTGACGGAGGCCGCGCCCCTCGCCGGCGTCAGGGGGCAGGGCCGGGGCGCACCACTCTCGGCCGCGGGGGAGCTCGGGAGCGTGGCGCGGCGGGTGGGACACGCCGGATGTGGCCCCCGGGCCGGTGGGGGCCTAGCAGGACACTGGGTTGCGGGCCGGGGATCAATGGTGGCGGGCAGCCGGGTCCCCGGGCTCGGGAGCTGTGGCGGCTGTCGCAGGCCGGGGCGCTCCCCCGGGAGGCCCAGAGCACGCGGGGGCGGGGTTCGGTGCCTCCGGCTGCCAGACGTCCCCAATATGGTCTGAGGCGCTTCCAAGCCCCCTCCCTGGCTTCGGGAGTTTTCTCTGCAGTTCTCTGCCCGCCCCTTTGCGGCCCAGATCCCAGTCGCCGCGGCCTGCGTGGAACTCTGTGCGAGCTGAATCTCCTGCTGCAGAACGACCCCGACCCCGAGCCCGAACCCGAGCCCCTCCGCTGCCCCAGCATCTTTGTCCGACCCCTTTCCCATCTCCCCTGCCAGGAATGCTCTCCCCACCAGAGCAAATCCAGATGTCCCCTCGGCGACTGTGGGCACCCTCCCCAACTGTGGAGCCTTCGCACGCCTTCCTCGGAGTCCGTGGTTGTAAAATTTGTTTTTCTCTAAAGTATTTGAGTGTCTCCCTCACTAGATCCTGAGGGTTTTAGTGAGTCCCTCGGTGTCAGCACACGCAGGCACTGCTGGGCGCCTGTAGTTGATTCTTAGTTAATACAAGTGAATAATCACAACTAGACCTTAATTTGCAGGAACTGTATGACAGGCACTTTTTAAAATGCTTTACACGTGTTGATTCAAGTGTAATCCTCACAAGAACCCTGCGAGGAAGATAGGACAGCAAGTGCCCTGTTCCTGCTTGTAAACGTGCCTTACACCCTGCAACAATACCTACAACAGAACCTTGCTAGTTGTGGGGGTTCGCAATAAAAGTTTCTGTTTGAATGAATCCTAGAGTGTGCAGGGACACAGCAATGGAAGACCTGGTCCCTTTGTCTGTACTTACCCTATAGCCAGTTTATTGTGAGACACCTGCCTTCTGGCCACTTTTACTGTTAGTCAGGGTTTCCCAGTCTGTCCTTTCTGACTCCCTGCCTTACCTCCTAAAAAGCTACCTCCCCTTTTCCCACTCTTGATAATGAACACTATGCACTTTCCACGTTCAAAGCATGCCACACTCCCTGTCTCCCTCGCCTTGGCCTCCCTAACCCAGGCTTATCCTAGTGAAATCACTTGCAAAGCCTGCCCTTTCAACTTGCTGTGTTTTCTCCATCAAACACAATTTTCATCAAACATCTCCCAGGAGCACCTTAGATGACTTCCTTTTGCCTAGGTTCTGATTTAGCTTTCTCAATAAGGACCTGAAAGTCAAGTTCCTAGTGCCACACTAACTCTCTACCAAGAAGAGGCGATAGGTTTTAGTTTGGGGGTGGGAGTAGGGGAGGATGATTTACTTCCCCATCCTTCTGAAACTTCCTCACAGGAACCTTTTCCTTCTTTGGGCTTTTCGTCCCGGTTTTTCTCCAGCTGTCTGTTTTTCCTTCTGAACTTGGCTGTTCACCATTGAGCCTTTTACTCTGCCTTACATGGTCACCTAACTTTGGGCCTATACTGTATTTGGCCCTTTCAGACTGTAGTTTCATGTGAAGCAGCAACTTTGTGTTGTCTTGCATTGTTTTGTATCTTCCACAGCACCAGATATAGGACTATGCACATAGTACAAGTTCAGTAAAGTATTTCTAAATGATCGAACAATTTCTCCAAGTGAAGAAACTGAAGGAAAATAGATCAGCTAAACCAGTTAGACCCGCAGGGTACCAAGCAGAAGCAAATGTTAAACTGCACGATGACTATATTTCTACAACTCAGGGCTCACAGAGACTCCAAGAGAAAGTGTAGCAGGATAAGCCGCAGATAAAACTCCTCAGACACTGGATTAAAGAAGGAAGACATGTTTTATTCGGCCGGGAGCATCGGCAGACTCGCGTCTTAAGAGCCGAGCTCCCTTGGCCTTTTTAAAGGCTTACAACTTTAAGGGATCCATGTAAAAGGGTCATGATAAATCAAGCAAGCATGGAAAACGTGACGGGGGGCTACATGCATCAGCTAACAGAACAAAAAGTTTTACAGTGCTTTCTCATACAACGTCTGGAATTTACAGATAACACTAGTAGTTTTGGTCAGGGGTTAATATTATCATTATTATTTTAACCACCAGGGCCAGGTGGTGGTGCCAAGGTCGTCTAGCTATTTATCTTACTTCTGTTTCTTTCCAACTTTTTGCTTTCTTCCCCTTCTCCTGTCTTATAAACTAGGGGAAAGGGGAGACGGGGAAAAGCCCGGAGAGACAACAGGAGAAGTGGTGGTCTCATTCTATAGAAGAAAAAAAGAATCCTCACAATAAAAGTATGAGCCACTCAAAGAAACATGCCATCATGAGACAGAATGGACAAAACAGGAAGAACTTGAGGTAACGGTACCATCTCAACATTAAAAGGAAAAAAGCAGGTTTCAAATGAAGGCAAAGATAATAGGAAGTACTAGTAAAAAGAATAGGAATTGTAAAGGAAACAAACAACAACAACAACAACAAAACAGGTGTATTTGAAAAAGAGCCAAACAGAACATCTAGAAATGAAAAGTATACTCACTGAAATGATTTAATGAAAGAAAATCTTCCTCAGCAATCAAGCTAGTGAGCAGTCTGGCAGTAAATCTTTAGAGCTATAAAGGAGTTAGCTCTGCCAGGCACGGTGGCTCACACCTGTAATCTCAGCACTTTGGGAGGCTGAGGTGGGTGGATCACCTGAGGTCAAGACCAGCCTGGCCAACATGGTGAAACCCCTAAAAATACAAAAATTAGCTGGGCATGGTGGCGCATGCCTGCAGTCCCAGCTACTCGGGAGGCTGAGGCAGTAGAATCAGTTGAACTCGGGAGGCGGAGGTTGCAGTGAGCCGAGATTGCGCCACGGCACTCCAGCCTGGACGGTAAGAGTGAAACTCCATCTCAACAACAACAAAAAAGTTGTTAGCTCTGGGCTTGGGTAATGCCCCCCACTTTGGTGCCACCACCCTCTGCATATGCCACCTGACAGTGCTGACCACACTGCACTGGGACTGCCTGTTTTCTTGTCAGTCTTCCTTGTTAGACTGTAAGCTCTTTGACAGCCAGGACTGTTCTATTTATGGTTGAACCCCAAGTCTGGCTCAATGCCGGGCACATGATAGGAACACAACAAATATTACTAGAAAATGAATGACTAAGCAGAAACACTCTCCAAAATTGTATAGTTTTTTATGGTAGCACTAATTACAGAATCAAAACTTTAGGAAGATCCATGTGACCGACAGGATCAAGCAAAAGAAAAAAAGTCAACAAGAAATAAGAGTCTTGTAAATCTTGAGAATTGCCAAGAATATAGACCATCCCAGGTCCCTGGAATCCTGTGGGATATGTTGTAATGAAAAGTAAATGCAAAATAGTAAGTACCCACCATTGCAATTAATTTGACATCATACTGATCCAGTCAGGAGGGAACTGAGGTGATGTCAAGGGCAGCATGAGTGTTCTGGCCTCACCTGATGTTTTCTGCTGTTAACAGAATACTACAGACTGGGTAAGTTATAAAAAAAAAGAAACTTATTTCTCACAGTTCTGGAGGTGAAGTCCAAAAACATGGCACCACTGTCTGGTGAGGGTCATCCCATGGCAGAAGGTGGAAGGCAGAGTGAGCACACTAGACAGAGAGATCAAATGGGGGCTGAAATTGTCCTTTTTTCTGAAGCCCATTCTTGAGATAACTAATCCACTCCTGAGATAGGAGCATTAATCTCCTCTTAAAGTTCCCATCGTTAATACCATTATATTGACAGTTAAATTTCAACGAGAGTTTTGGCAGGAATATTTAAACCATAGCTCCTGGGAAGGTGCACAAGGTGTAAGGAGAATCCACCTTGGTGTAAAGAAGGGCTCATTTCGATGTAGGATTCCTGTTTACTAGTTCTGGGTGAGAACTAGTTCTGGTTGCTGCCTCTGATCATCTGCTTGTCTGGGGTGAGGGCAAGTTGGGAGTGGGAACACTGGCTTTTCTTCTGCCTTTGGATCCCTGGAGTCCCACACTCAGACATCAACCTCCCCCCAGAAGCCAAGCTGCAACAGGAGCCAACTTTAGGTCCTGGTTCCAATTCCACTTGCCCCTGCCTCTCCCCACCCTCTTAAAAAGAAAACAACAACAACATAGGATTATACTGAACAACTATGTATGTATTTATGTGTTTATGAGAGAGTCTTACTCTGTTGCCCAGGCTGGAGTGCAGTGGCAAGATCTCGGTGCACTGCAACCTCCGCCTCCCAGTTCAAGCAATTTTTGTGCGTCAGCCTCTCGAGTAGCTGGGATTACAAGTGGCTACCAGCACGCCTGGCTGATTTTTGTATTTTTAGTAGAGACAAGGTTTCATCCTGTTGGCCAGGGTGATCTCAAACTCCTGAGCTCAAGTGATCCACCCGCCTTGGCCTCCCAAAGTGCTGTGATTATAGGCAAGAGCCACCGTGCCCAGCCTGAAAAATTTTAATACATAAATTCAATTAATTATCTTATAGTCAAGGACTCTTCTACTAAGTGAAGTGAGGCAGCCTGCACAGGTGTTCAACTCTGTGCCTGACACTGTTGTTTGCTTTTCAAGTATTAACTCCTCTTACTATTACAGTATGGGGCCAGGGCTATGATGATTATCCTCATTCCACAGATGAGGAAACTGAGATCCAGAGAGGTTAAGTAACTTCCTCAGGATCACACAGCTAATAAGAGGTGGAGCCAGGGTTTGAGTCCAGCTCTGCCTGAATCTGATGCCCTATGCTCTTGAATGGAGGGCAAAGACAGAAAATGGACAAGCATGTAGAGTGATGACCCTGGACCTCCAGCTGCTGCTGCCAGGCAGTCCAGTGACTTCAAGGGTGTTGCTGACACAAAGGTCTTTTGGATGTACAGGCTGTGAAGAGAGCAAGATTTCGGCATTTGAGACACACACCCTGGTGGCTCACATGTACTAACGACACTCAAAGTGGGTACCATGTATATGCGAGCCAGAGGACAGCCTCACTCTGATCTTGCTCATTCATGTCATCATACCACCTGTGGAGACAGCACCTTCTTTTTTTGTTTGTTTTTTTTTTTTGGGGGGGGTCGGGGGAGGGAATGGAATTTCAGTCTTGTTGCCCTGGCTGGAGTGCAATGTGCGGTCTCAGCTCACTGAAATCTCCACCTCCCGGGTTCAAGTGATTCTCCTTGCCTCAGCCTCCCGAGTAGCTGGGTTACAGGCTCACACTGCCAGACTGGCTAATTTTTGTATTTTTAATAGAGACAGGGTTTCACCATGTTGGCCAGGCTGGTCTCAAACTCTTGACCTCAGGTGATCTGGCTGCCTCAGTCTCCCAAAGTGCTGGGGTCACAGGCATGAGCCACCGCACCTGGCCCTGAGACAACCCCTTCTTAAAGGGTCATTACTTTCCCTCTGAAATATACTCTGCATCCATGTCTGGCCTTGGAGCTCTGCAGTTGCTCACTTCTCTAGAAACAACCTACCTGGTGAAGGAACATGGGAATGGGAGTCAATGGCAGCTTGCTCTGAATCC